CATTTAATCTCTTTCACAACCCACTGGATCATTTTATTTGCAGCCTGGAAGGATGCAAGATGGGGTAGTATTTGGTGATGGTGACAGCTCAGTCACCTCTACCCAATTCTCCTCATTAGCTTCATCTGGTGAGCCACCAGTCTTGCTCAAGTGACCATGTTCGTATGGCCCATGCAAAATGCTGCTACACTGTTTTACAGCTGGTATGCCTGAGGCAATGGAGCCACATTGAGGATGTGTTCCTCTCAGCTCTTCAAGGCCAGGTTGAGAAGTGGCAGAGCCAACTCCAGCTTGTGCCAGAACCTTCTGTCTGTCTTTTGGCAGGAAAAGTTCACACATGTGCCTGGTCTGGCTCACATCCTACACCTGGTGGTTAGATACACTGGATTTTAGACTGTCCTGCAGCAGGCCAGAAGAGTTTGAAGTCACTTCAGGCAGTCATAATCAACCACTGCTTGGCCGCCTGAAATTCAGCAGAAACACCAACTGCCTGCCAACCACTTGATATTTGATATGCCCATCTCCTAGAACTCAACCTAGGCCATACTGCAGCTGCTAAACTTGCTTTAGCAGGTCATAAATATGTATTTGTGAAAATAGAGGACAAGGACTGGCTCCATGAAGTTGTTTTTTTTTTTACCATGTCAGAGGCTCCTCATGTAGGATGTATGTCAGCATTTAACTGCTTGCCGTCCAGCCACTGTGTAAAAATGGTCACAGGGTGGCACCACTGCGCAAAATCATGTTTTAAAACATCATTTTGCAAAACAGGTAGGGGGCGCACATGAGGCGCGAGACCGCCCTACCCGTGCCGCTGATCGCAGCCGCGGATGTCAATCACCGGGTCCCGGCCGGTCATTACCCGCCGGGTCCTGGCGATTGCCAGCAAACAGTAACACAGAGCACAGCTGCATTGTTTACAATGCACCTCTGCTCCCTGTCAGTTCCTAACACACTGTTCCTGAGAGCGGAGTTTAGCTCTCGGGATCAGTGTGTTCCTGTGAATTACAACCCCCCCGCCCACTAGTAAAACACTCCCCTCACACAGTTAACCCTTTGATTGCCTAAAAAAAGTTAACCCCTTCCTCCCAAGTGCCATTAGTACAGTGTCAGTGTTTTTTTTTTTGCACTGATCACTGTATTGGTGTCACTGGGTATGTCAGTGACCCCGACCCAGTTCCCCCAGTGTCAAAATGCTCACCGCAGTCCCGCCATAAGTCACTGATCACTGTCATAAATCGCTGATCGCTGCCATTATTAGTATAAAAAAAAATCCCAGTATCTTTCCCGCCATTTGTAAACGCTATAACTTTCACGTAAACAAATTAATTTACAGGTATTGGGATTTTTTTTAGCAAAGACATGTCGCAGAATACATTTTGGTCAAAATTTATGACGAAATTTGATTTTTACATTTTTTTACTGGGCATGTTTTATAGCAAAAAGTCCAAAATATTGTTTTTTTTTTCTCAAAATTGTCAGCCTTTTGTCAGTGCAAAAAATAAAAAACACACAGGCGATTAAATACCACCGAAGAAAGCTCAATTCGTGGGAAAAAAGGATGTAAATTTAATTTGGGTGCAGTGTTGCATGACCGCGCATTTGTCAGTTAAAGTAACGCAGCGACGTAACACAAACCGCTTCTGTAACCGCTTCCTGACCACCCTATAGCAGAAATACTGCTACAGGGCAGCACAAGTGCGCAAAATCACATATATATATATATATATATACATATATATATATATATATACATGATTTGCGCTCCCGTGGGTTTTCTCGCCCCTACCAGATAGCGTCAGATTGCCCGTCAGTACACCAGTCATCACATTTAACCCCTTGATTGCCAGGAGCACGCTCATGCACAATAAACCTCCATTGCTAGTATAGTTTTTGAACGGAACAATATCTTTGTTCAGATCAGCACTATACCAGCGTTCACATTAGTATAGCGTCCCCAAAAAAGCAGCGTTAGCGGGATCAGCCCCGACACCTGCCAACACCTGCGTTTAGCTCCTACGTTTAAACTAGCGCAGCGCTGTATAGCAAAAAAAATGGCGTAAATTGCAGTATCTATACCATAGTTTGTAGACGCTATAACTTTCACATAAAGCAATCAATATACACTTTTTGGGATTTTTTTTACCAAAAACATGTAGCAGAATACATTTTGGCCTAAATTTATAACTAACTTTGAATTTACTATATATTTTTTATAGCTGAAAGTAAAAATATTGTTTTTCTTCAAAATTTTCGGTCTTTTTTTGTTTATAGCGTGAAAAATAAAAAGCGCACAGATGATCAAATACCACCGAAAGAAAGCTCCATTTGTGTGAAAAAAGGACGTAAATTTCGTTTGGGTGCAGCATTGCATGACCGCGCAATTATCAGTTGAATTAGTGCAGCGTTGAGTGGCAAAAAGAGGCGTGGTCATTAAGGGGGGTAAATCCTCAGGAGGGCAAGTGGTTAAAGAGGTGTTCCTGCTGGAGAAAACACTGTATGGTGTAATATAACTGGCAACTGGAGGCACAACAGCAGGAGAAAAGGACGCACTTTCTGCGGTGTCAAACCTCAAGGTATCCTGAATCCAGCTCTATGCGGTAGCACCAGTCACTGGAGGAGCAAAAGGAGAATGATGAGGGTTAGGGTGTTGTTGGTAAGAAAGAGGAGGAGGCCATGGAGCAGGCATCCAATGGACCAAAAAAAGGAGTTGTATATAGGTAGGGTGCGATGGTAAGTACACAGTTGTCCTCAGTGATATATAGGATTAAGGTTCTGGTACCACCTGAAATTTGTGGCACATGGTCTTATTCAGGCTGCAGTGTCTATGCAAGGATCCAAGAATTCAGGACATGAAGGAGATGAGCCAATAAAAATCGGGCATCCTTTTGGATCCATAATATAAGGGCAAAATGCCAAAGCTCAACCTGCCATTACTGAGAGAGGAAACAAAAATCACCGTCTGCAAGAAGTTCTGCTGAGGAACCTCTTAACAGCTTTCCCAGAGAGGGAGATAGTCCACTTTCATTGACAATATTCCTCAAATACTCATGAGGATGAAAGGAGGAATTCCTATGGCTGTGAATGCCTAAATGAGGCTTTCAGGTTATTCGTCAAAATATATCACAGAGGTCTGGCTGCTGGCAGCAGTCACAAGTAGTTCATAAGCTGTATGATCAGTGTTTACATGATGGCAGATGTGGACACCCTTTCAAAGAATGATCCACTTGACTACTGAGTGTCAGGGCTGGACCAGTGTTTGAGTTTTCCCAGCATGCAATCAAACTGGCTGCATCGTGCCTAGTGTCCTTACAGAATGGGCATTAGGTGCAGGAGGTGGTGTTGTCACAGAAAGAATAATGAAGCAGCCTGGATCAATGGTGAGAACCAAACCTCTGTAGCTGATATTAACAGTTACATTTCTTTTTTAAATCTGTCCTTCCCAAATTATTTTATACTATGCAGCATTACCATCTCTTACCACTGCTGATGGCCTGCCACCATTGTCATTTTCTGCCACCACAGCTGGCATTCTACTCTTACCAACTCCTGCCACTGCTGCCATCTCCTGCTACGTCCACTGGCCTGCCATCCATTAAAATCTCCTGCCATCACTGCTGGCCTGCCACCATTAGCATGTTCTCCACCACTTCCGGTCTGCCAGCATTACCAATTGGAGTTGCCTCTATAGCTTTAGTCCAGTTATTTGGCACTGTCAAGGTGCCACAGCTAATGTTTCTGCAGTTGCTCCTCAGCTGCCAAATTTGGGAAATGTTTTATGCCTGGTCATTTCTGCATACCGCCTCAATGTTTAACCACTTCCAGTCCGGACACTTTTACCCCCGTCCTGTCCAGGGCAATTTTCAGCTTTCAGTGCTATCACACTTTGACAATTGCGCGGTCATGCAATACTGTACCCATATGAATTTTTTACCATTTTTTTGAGACAGATAAAGCTTTATTTTGGTGGTATTTATTCACCACTGGGATTTTTATTTTTTTTGCTATGTAAATGAAAATGTCCAAAAATTTTGAAAAAAAGTGTTTTTCTTATAAAATTTTGCAAATAAATAATATTTCATCATACATCTTGGCCAAAATTTATTCCGTTATCTTTTTAGTAAAAAAAAAATAAGCCAAATTAGTTTATAACCAAAAATTATAATTTTTAAACCTTTTTTTTACATTTTTATTTTTTTTTATATTATTATTTATTTTATTATTTTGTTTTTTTTTTTTACATACTGTCACCCTAGCAGTACAGTGTCACCATGGTGACACTATACTACTTGTGGGGGGTGATAAAGAGTTTTTTTTTTTTTTACACTGATTGCTTTTACACCCATATAGGATGTAAAAGCAATCATTTCTCTTTCTCTCTGTCTGCATTCTTGCAGCCATTCAGAACTACTGAGTGAGCTGTGATTGGTCACAGCTTGCCACATGGTACAAGGCTGTTGTGAATAGCCTTGTACCATGTGACCTCTGTGATCATTCACAGATTTCACACGTAGTAAGCAATGATGTCAGAAGTGACATCTTGCCAGGGGCGGACTGACAACTCATGGGGCACCCGGGCAATAGGGGACCATGGGGCACCTGTGTCCTCGCCCACACCCAAAAAAGTCTATGAAAAAGCCAATGAAAGATACCAGGGCAGGGGCGGACTGACAACTCATGGGGCCCCTGGGAAATAGGGGGTCATGGGGCCCCTGTGTCCTTGCCCAAACTCAAAAAAGCCTATGAAAAAGGTACCAGGGGCATTTCATGGGGCCCCCTACTGACCCCGGGCCCTCGGGCAGTGCCCGAGTTTCCAAATGGTCAGTCCGCCCCTGCATCTTGCTTACTACTTTGCATGTGATCACTGATTGGCCAATCAGTGATCACATGATTGGGACCTCGTACAGAGGTCCCGTCCCATGATCAGTGTTTTACTGTGTCCGGAGGACACAGCGGGCACCGGATCGCGGTGCTGCGCGCTCCCGGGGAGCACGCATAAGCAGGGTGCGGGTAGGCCGTTTATAAATGGCCATCTGACCCTGCAGTGCCACCGTCCAGCCGTTTATATACAACGGCCGGTCGGGAAGTGGTTAAGGTGTGTTTTGCTGGTTTGACAATGTCAAGGTGCACACTCAATGTTTATGCAGCTGTTCTTCAAATACAAAATGTATAGTGCTTCATGCAGGCCAAATCATGTTCTTTGTCTCCAATTGTGAGGTTTTTCCTGTGCTCTGTAAAAGCAGTAAATTTGTGGCTATTGCCTGTAATAGGGTAGTAAAATGTGCAAGGATTTTAACAAACTTTGTTACAGATTCCCTCCTTTTGTTGCTGTGAAGGAAAGCTGTCTGTTTTTTTTTCTGTGTGCACAGTGAATGTGAATGGGAGTGACTATCTCATTATTAATCAGATGATGCGCTTGCAGAGTTCTAATGAGGAAATTTGCAGTGTCTGAATGCCTTGAGATGTGATGAACCCTTTGGGAGTATCTCACCAAAAAATGAAACGATGCAGTGGATACCGTAAATCTGACTTTTATCTTAGTGCAGACTTCTGGGAAAGTTGGTGAGCCAATCACACAAGCATGAAATTACATTTTTGGGAGGCGTTCCATACAACAACTGTGTATGGAATTATTATTATTATACAGGATTTATATGGAATGTCTCCAGGTTCTCATATTGCCATGAATTTTAGAGAAACTTACAGTTCTGCAGATTGAAAAGGAATGGTCATTTTTAACTATCTCAATACCTCTGTAGGTATATATGTAACAAGATCCATTGTAAATGTAAATGTTCAGGTTTATTAATGCATTGTTATAGTTAATCTTTCCTTCAAGAAGTTCCTTTTTTATTACATAGTTACATAGTTAGTCTGGCTGAAAAAAAGACAAAAAGTCCATCCAGTTCAACCATAAAAAAAAAATGTTATAATCCTATACCCACAGTTAATCCAGAGGAAGGCAAAAAACCCAGCAAAGCACGATCCAATTTGCTCCTGCAGGGGAAAATATTCCTTCCTGATCCCCCAAGAGGCAATCAGTCATATTCTCTGGATCAACTTTACCTATAAATTTTAGTAACCAGTTATATTCTGTGTATCTAAGAAAGAATCCAGGCCTTTTTTTAAAGCAATCCACTGAGCTGTATTTGGAGATTAAATTTATTTTCCTCCAGACGTAAAGAGTGCCCCCTTGTCCTCTGTGATGACCTCAGGATGAATAGCTCTTACACTGAGTTCACTATATGAACCACTGATGTATTATACATGGAGATCATATCCCCCCTTATGTATTATACATGGAGATCATATCCCCCCTTATGTATTATACATGGAGATCATATCCCCCCTTATGTATTATACATGGAGATCATATCCCCCCTTATGTGTATTATACATGGAGATCATATCCCCCCTTATGTATTATACATGGAGATCATATCCCCCCTTATGTATTATACATGGAGATCATATCCCCCCCTTATGTATTATACATGGTGATCATATCCCCCCTTATGTATTATACATGGAGATCATATCCCCCCTTATGTATTATACAATGGAGATCATATCCCCCCTTATGTATTATACATGGAGATCATATCCCCCCTTATGTATTATACATGGAGATCATATCCCCCCTTATGTATTATACATGGAGATCATTATCCCCCTTATGTATTATACATGGAGATCATATCCCCCCTTATGTATTATACATGGAGATCATATCCCCTCCTTATTGTATTATACATGGAGATCATATCCCCCCTTATGGTATTATACATGGAGATCATATCCCCCTTATGTATTATACATGGAGATCATATCCCCTCCTTATGTATTATACATGGAGATCATATCCCCCCCTTATGTATTATACATGGAGATCATATCCCCCTTATGTATTATACATGGAGGTCATATCCCCCTTATGTATTATACATGGAGATCATATCTCCCTTATGTATTATACATGGAGATCATATCCCCCCCTTATGTATTATACATGGAGATCATATCCCCCCATTATGTATTATATACATGGAGATCATATCCCCCCTTATGTATTATACATGGAGATCATATCCCCCCTTATGTATTATACATGGAGATCATATACCCCTTATGTATTATACGTGGAGATCATATCCCCCTTTATGTATTATACGTGGAGATCATATCCCCCCTTATGTATTATACGTGGAGATCATATCCCCCCTTATGTATTATACATGGAGATCATATCCCCCCTTATGTATTATACATGGAGATCATATCCCCCTTATGTATTATACATGGTGATCATATCCCCCCCTTATGTATTATACATGGAGATCATATCCCCCCTTATGTATTATACATGGAGATCATATCCCCCCCCTTATGTATTATACATGGAGATTATATCCCCCCCCTTATGTATTATACGTGGAGATCATTTCCCCCCCTTATGTATTATACGTGGAGATCATATCCCCCCTTATGTATTATACGTGGAGATCATATCCCCCCCTTATGTATTATACGTGGAGATCATATCCCCCCTTATGTATTATACATGGAGATCATATCCCCCCCTTATGTATTATACATGGAGATCATATCCCCCTTATGTATTTATACATGGTGATCATATCCCCCCTTATGTATTATACATGGAGATCATATCCCCCCTTATGTATTATACATGGTGATCATATCCCCCCTTATGAATTATACATGGAGATCATATCCCCCCTTTCGTATTATACATGGAGATCATATCCCCCCTTATGTATTATACATGGAGATCATATCCCCCCTTATGTAATATACATGGAGATCATATCCCCCTTATGTATTATACATGGAGATCATATCCCTCCCTTATGTATTATACATGGAGATCATATCCCCCCTTATGTATTATACACCGAGATCATATCCCCCCTTATGTATTATACATGGAGATCATATCCCCCCTTATGTATTATACATGGAGATCATATCCCCCCTTATGTATTATACATGGAGATCATATCCCCCCTTAATCTCCTCTTCTTAAGAGAGAATACATTCAGTTCCTCTAATCTTTCCTCATAGCTGAGCTCCTCCATGCCTCTTATCAGTTTGGTTGCCCTTCTCTGTACTTTCTCCAGTTCCCCAATGTTCTCTTTGTGAATTGGTGCCCAAAATTGAACTGCATATTCCAGATGAGGTTTTACTAATGATTTGTACAGGGGTAAAATGATATCTCTCTCTCTGGAGTCTATACCTCTTATAATAGAAGAGAGGATTTTGCTCGCTTTAGAAACTGCAGCTTGGCATTGCATGCCATTATTAAGCTTGTGATCTACCAGAACCCCTAGATCCTTCTCCACCATTGTACTCCCCCTAGTATGTAGTAGTAGTATACCACAAGGTAGAACTTTGTGGACTCTGATTCATTTTTAGTCAAGAGCATTAAATTCTTGAAGTTGTGGTCCCAGCCAGAAGGAACTCCATTACTAACCAGATCCATTAAACTACAAAGTCAGTATGCCGTAATTCGAGAGAGGCCATATAAATTAGGAAGCCCAGGAAACACAAGGCAGTCGAGGAGAGAGACAATGGAGAAGGGAATGTTCTGGCAGAGAGAGAGATAGAGAGGAAGATACAGGGAAGGACTGTGCATTACATTAGAGACAGTATATGTCAGTTCCAGAGAAGTGAGGAAGCTGCTGCAAACTGCCAAGTCCAGTCTGTGTCTGCTGGAACTGGGGATCATCCTGAGGCCTAGTGCCAGAGCGGCCCAAGATCCAGACCTGCTGATTCCTGCCGTGACGCTGACAAGGGTGCAGCTGTAATGCAGAGCTAAAGCTGCCTGACCACTGCAATAGCCCATCTGGAACTTAAAGGGGGCCCCCAGTTCATCACCAAAGGAGACCTTCTACTACAAAAAAATCCTGGAGTAGACATTAAGCCTTTGCAACATATTGACTGGCCCTCTATTGATATCATTGGAAAGTTGTACTGCATTATACCCCCTATGATCCATAAATTTCTGTCCTCCTATCCTCTACCAACTTTCTGCAACAGTCCTGCTACTTACAACTGAATATCTGAAAGATATCTACTATTATACCTTTCATAACAGGGGCGGACTGACAACTCATGGGGCCCCCGGGCAATAGGGGATCATGGGGCCCCAAACTCAAAAAAGCCTACGAAAAAGGTACCAGGGCATCTCATGGGGCCCCTACTGACCCTGGGCCCTCGGGCAGTGCCCAGGTTTCCAAATGGTCAGTCCGCCCCTGCCAGGGATAGTAGCATGGTAGAAATAATCTAAGAAAAATAAGAACCTTATCTTTCCAGTATTAGGCTTAAACAACCATCACTTCAAGTGTATGCAATTAGCAGGCTGTCACATAAATAAAAAGGAGAATGAAGGGAGTCTTTGTTAAATGGATTTTTACAGGCAAATGTGTCAACATTAATAGACATCATCAACCACTCACTAGTAGATAAAGGCTACAATAGATGTGGGCCCCTTTCGCCCCAGGGTATCCATAGTCAGTGGTGTAGCCTTAAGTGGTATAATTTGCTACTCACTTGGGTTGATTTACTAAAGGCAGCATATACTGTGCACTTTGCAATTACAGTTGCTCCAGAGCTTAGTAAATGAGGAAAAGCTCAGTAAACCTCCATCATACAACCATGTGCAAGAAAAAGATGCTTTTGCTTTTTTTTTAATTTCCCTTGCAAGTGATTAGGTATTCTTTGTAAAGTGAAGCTTTACCTCATTTACTAAGATCTGCAGCAACTGCACTTGCAGATTGCACAGTCTATTAGCCTTTAGTAAATCAACCTCACTGTGTTGGAGCAATGCTGAATAAATCCTCCACCACAACTGCCACTGGTTGTCTTTATTTCCATCATTTTCAAATCTAAGTAAACCAGTAGTTCTGTTGAAAGCCTTTACCTCTACTAGTTTGTATTTGTATCTATGCTGACTTTTGAATAAACCTGTTAATCATCCCCTTCATATTTAGTCAAATATAACTGAACTTGCTTTGTTGAATT